GACAGCATAGCCAGTAGCTGAGCTTAGTCTACTTTTTTGTAAGTTTCTTCTAATGTCTTGTACAAGTTTTTTTTCTCTTCTTTTGCTCAGTGCATTAATCACATCAGCCCATGTTGCTTTAGGTGCTGCTTTCAACCATTTTGAGTACAATGCTGACTTTTGTTCATCAATTGTTGGGTTATCTTTCTCAATTTTTGAAATGTCTGAATCAGTAATTTCTGGTAAGCAATCACCAAATGGTTTCCAGTCAACAAGCGGTTTAAGCCATTGAATTAATAGTGAATAATCAGGTCGATCATCAATCATAGGACCAATATTGAGTTCAGAAATATCTGGTACATCTTCAATTTCCTTAGTGTTATAACTGGCACCAGCAGAAAGCAAAATATTCATGATGTCTTTGTGTCCTTTTTCACTAGCTAAAATTAGTGCTGTCTTGCCTTCTTCATTAGAATAATCAATATTAACAGTTTTTAGTTGAAGAAGAAAGTCTACTGCTTCATTATTACCAGCTGTGACTGCCTCGAGGAGAGCTAGTTCAAAGGTGAAGTTCATATTCTCATCTTCTTGAAGGACAGGATGATCATTAATGTATAAACTAAATATACCAATGAGACGCATAAACTGTAACTTTCCTCCAGTATATTCTATTAGACTGTCAGCTGTAAAATCTAACACCCTGAATTTAATAACTACTGATCCAGGAATAATTTCTATATTCTTTAATAATGATTGTACTAAATTCCTTGGAAGCAAATGTTGAATTAGAAGAGTTAGATTGCTTAGATTACTATCATACCATGGATTATTAAGCTTTATAATAATATGTGGCATTCTGGTTAGATCTGAAACATGCTCCAGGTATATTTTTATTAATGACTGGTAAAGGTCCGCCACACTACTGGAAAATCTAAATGTGTCTGCTTTTTTCTTGTGATTTTGGAGTTCACTCACAATATTCAGCTTTTTTTTACCAAATTTGACATCACCCAGAAATATTTGACTCAAAGTTACTATTAAGCTGCAGTCAATAAAATCATAGTACGGATGAATAATTTTAAATATTTCATCCAAAGATGCATTTGTTAGCTTGTCATTCCAGTTCATGTATGCCTCAATCCATCTTCTTAAATTAATGAGCAGTTTAGGATCTGAGGCTTCTTTCTCATCAAATGCTGTTCGTACATTTGTCATTAAACTAGCAAATGATCCGATGAGCTCTTCCAGTGAATGTAAAACTTCTTCACCTTCCATTGTAATATACATTATTTCCTTTTTTTGCATAGTGCTCACGGTAGCTCCACTGCTAATGTTAGGTACTGAAGGATGTCCTTGAATCATTTCTCTGATATTTTGTGCAAGAGTGTTTTCTCTTCTAATTCTCAATGCAATAATGACATCATTCCAAGTTGCCTCAGGATAAACAGAAAGCCATTTTGTATACAATTTTCTCTTTCGGTCATTCACACCGGAACTATCAGTTTCAATTATAGATACATCATGTTGTGTTATTCCTGGTAAGCAGTAGCCAAATAACTGCCAATCAACAAGTGGTTCAAGCCATTGAGATAGCGATGAAATGTCAGGTCGATCATCAATCATAGGACCAGGATTGAGTTCAAAAGTGCCTGAGGTAGCGTCTGTGTTACTGACTGTTACATCAGTTACTCCAATAGGCCATTTCATTTCATGCTGAATACTTTTAGCTAGTTCATTCTCTTTACATTGTTTCAATGCATTAAGTACGTCTTTCCATGATGCTTGAGGGTTAGCTTGTAACCATCTCTTGTGCAAAGCCATTTTCTTGAGGTGAGCATTTCTTTTCTTTTTATCAATTACATTGACGTCAGATTGTGTTATTCCAGGAAGACAAAGAGCAAATGGCTTCCAATCAACAAGTGGTTTAAGACACTTCGCAAATGTAAGACAAGATGGTCGATCATCAATCATAGGACCAGGATTGAATTCAACATCTCCTGATAAGAGGAGGAGCATACGTAGACAAACAATCAAATAGATATCATTGTAAATCAGGTTAGAACTGCTGCCTCCAGGTGAGACTACTGACTGGAGGTAATTCGTATCAGTAACAGTAACACCAGTAGTACATTGTACTTGGTAGCAGTTACCTAATAATAAAATACCAGTAAATATACAAGTACAAAGTTGCAATTGTTGTTTACCTGTTGGAGGAATCATCAAGATGTGTCTTAATAAAGAGAGAGAGAGAAAGAGGAGGAGGATAGCAATAAAAGTCAGAGTCACTGGGAGTTTAGATGTCTTCTGTCCTGATGTAGTACTGCCTGACTTGCTGTCTGCTCCAGCTTTGAATGAGTGAGAGTGGCGGCCATTAGCTGGTCTACTGGAGGCAGCTTGACAGTAGTTCCACAGTCCAATACTTGCTCTCCATTGAGAGACATCAATCATCTTGTACTAACAATAGATGACACACAACAATAATGAAAGCAGGACTTTATAAAAGGAAGAGAAGCAATGTATATGATATGGCACCTCACTAAAATATAGACAGAAATTGCACTATCTATCAGATCACCAGCCAAGAGAGGGCAATAACTAGTCACTCTTCAGAAGTGGTTTTTATGTATCCCTATCTGTATCACTAGAATAAAGACCACACTGAACTAACTGAACTATATTCATAACAATATGATAGTCATGTGAGAATGGCTGGGGGAGTATGCGATTGTTTGCATTCCTAGATGTATTTTGACTAAATTTGGTCATTGCTTATCTATCCTTTTACTATGCATAACAGCACTTAATTTTCATTACATTTGACAAGCTATCAAGTTAAATAGAAATATGCAATTGGACAAGAGCAATGTACCAGTGTATAAAGGATGGGTGTATCAGTGTACTACATTGTATGTGTGTGGTATATATAGGACCTCATAAAAATAGTTACTGGAGCACACCAATAACACCAAATATCATTTATCGACTGCTAGTTATTATAGTAGCATTTATTATTACTATTACTTTATTGTGCATGAATCAAATCCTCACATTCCCAGAATACATGAACATGTACAAGTACACACATCAGATTAAGTACATTAATCCATTCTCTCTCCTGACCCTCTCTTTACTCTCTCACCTTGTTACTATCTCCATTCTCTTCTAATACATTTAATAAACTGGACCATTCAAACTAGATCAACCTGTGAGAGGTAGAGGGACAAAGAAAGAGAGAGAGAGATGGAATGAGAAAGACAGGAGAGTCAAGGGATATACATGTACATGTATAGGTGACTAAGGTGAGTGACATTGGTAGAAGGGAAAGAGAGTTAAACAATAGATAATATGCTTAAACTAAATTAGGAGTTAGGAAATGGAGATTAATGAGAGAAGAATAGTGAATGAATAATAATAATAATAGAATTTCAGACTTTGGATCAAATATGCTCTAGTAACTATTAAATTCTTTTATTGAACCAAACTTTTATCTTTTTGTGTGTACAACTCTTTAGTTTATCATATATCATTCTATTTTTGATAATTGTACTTAGTCTGTTTTCATGATTTTACATGTTTACATTATGTGCTTAGTTTTGAAGCTTGGAGAACGAAGACATGTAGACTATGTAGTGTAAAACCTTACAACACTTACGATCTTCCTGTAACTGCTTACATGCAAGCAGTTTCATCTTACTGTAACTGCTTTCCGTTCCTATTACACATAGGAATGAAAAATGCAGCTACATGTACACTAACTTACTACCACTAATGGTATTCTACTATTATACCAAGATTAGATACAGTTATGTCGTCAACTCATCACCAATAAACATAAAAATAATAATAATAACAATAATGAATAATTTTAGTCAAGGTTTATATGTAATTGCATGCCATTAATGTAATTTCTTGGTAAAGGGTCTCTCTCAACAGCTGATACTGTATAGTGGGAAATTTTGGAGGGAGTTAAATTTAGCAAATTGCTAAAATTTGGTGATTGGCAAATTAGTGGCCATGTGCCATTGAGCATGAGTATAATAGCTCAAAATGGTAGATTTTATATTGTCGAATGGCTATTAAAATGCTAAATTTGCCAAATTAATCCCCCCCCAAAATTTCCCACTACATAGTATACATGTAGTACAAAGGTGGTATTCCTTTTTCCCAGCAAGCTTGACAGCTACACAAATCAACCATACCCAACTACTTCACCTTCTGGCCACTCACAGTCACAATATTAATGCTGTCATAATTTAACAAAAAATATCATTATTGTTTTTATAAAAATGTGTGACTTAATTAAGCTATACATGTAAGATTCTCTTACTTCATCATAATTACTAAAGCAACCCAGTGCACTGAGTACAGTGACAAACAGTAATGAAGTATATATTAGAAATACTGGAAGAGAAAGAGACAGGAAAAAAGAGCTATCAAAAATGGTAAATCATCAATATTAAACTTTGATCAGAATTTTTTATGCAACATTAGTACATGTACATGAATACACATGAGAAAAAATTATAAAAATTGAGAATGTCATAAAATACCCTGTACTCATAGTTCAGAGACTTCAGCCCAATTTGAAAAAACTTAAAAATTCATAACATATTAATTTTTGATCTGTCAACTCAAACTTTCTATGAAACATAATACATGTATATGTATTAGATTATAAAAATGAAAAATTCTCTCCTACCCATTTTTCATGAAATACCCTCTATAGGGACTTTGGCACAATTTTGGAACAACTTTAAAAATTCATTAAAAAAAAGTTTTGATTGAAATCAGCTCAAACTTTCTACACAACATAAGTACATGTAAGTGTATCAAATAAAATTATAAAAATGAAGATTTCTCTTCTTTTTATTT